AGGGGGATTCAGGGAAACCGGTTATTTTATATAGTGGGACTTGAGCCCGGAAATGGGAAGTCAATGCCTGCATTTTAAAGGAGGGGTTTGGGATATTGGCAGTTTGGAGGATATGTTGTGTATCTCTATACGTATATGCTTCTAAACTGTATATTCTGAGCACCTCTGCAAAAGCAGTGATAATGTGTGAGTGTGGTGAAAGTTTTTGATGTTGATGAAAGTATTTCTTTTTGGGGATTTTCTTTCTTTTTTGGGTCACCCTGCCTCTGGGGAGACGACCGACTTGTTAAAAAAAAAAAAAAAAATATATATATATATATTTTATATATATATATATATATATATATATATATATATATATATATATATATATATATTATAAATATATATATATATTATATTATATATGTATTCAAACTTAGAAATAATTTTCACATATACTCAGTGGGATGCAGAACGGAAGAGCACTGCAAATAATAGGATAAAGAACGAAAAGGAACACTTAAGAGTACGCAAGTTATGAAGACCATCGAAGGCTCCTTCAGACAGGGAGGTGAGTTGTTCTCACTTAAGATGAGGATGCGAAGACGCCATAGGTGCTTGAAGGTGCCTTTCTTAAGGTACTCGATGTTGTTCCTTGACAGATCTCTGTCGACACACCAAAACTCATAATAATAATAATAAAAATTTATAATAATTAATAATAATAATAATAATAATAAATTATAATAATAATTATAATAATAATAATAATAATTATTATTTATTATTATTATTATTATTATATTATTATTATTTTAGTAGTAGTAGTAGTAGTAGTAGTAGTAGTAGTAGTAGTAGTAGTAGAAGTATTGATATCATTATTATTAATTGTTATTATTATTGTAGTAGCAGTAATAATTTAAGTAGTAGGAGTAATAGTAGTATTATTATTTGTAGTGGTAGTAGTAGTATAAGCAGCAGCAGCAGTAGTAATAGTTATAGTAGCATTAATAGTAGAAGTAGCAGTAATTGGGGCAGGACTTGGCAGGTTTTCCAGACAGAGGTCAGTTTTCAAAAGCTGTTCTTGGAATAGCTGGGAAGTTGCATCCGGAGAGGCTTGTATACAACCAAAACGACAGGGTTTTGTTTTCGATCTTTGCTGCCAAAACTACATCATTTGAGGTGTTCAGTAATTCTTAGCAAATGAGCGACTCTGTGACGTACAAGCTAACTTTCCCTTATTGCCTGTTTAGTCTGCGCATCTGAATAGGTTATAACCTGGGATCCCTATTTTGTTGTCAAAATGATCCTTTATATGGGTCTCTGTGAAAGCCACAAACATTGCATTTGACTCCGTGAGTAGCTCCTTGATGTGAGGCATTTTGTTGTTTGTTGATGGCTTTAGACTCTGTATGTTTGCAATGACAAATGTCATTATACTGATGGAATTTAGGGGGTCTTTATTTGCTGGCATTAATATCTGTTGTTATTTCTTGCCAGTCTTTTTTTTTTTCTTCCTGGCACTAAAAAGCCTCATTCTCTGGAAAGGTTTTGGCTTTCCTGCTTTGTTTCTCATTGTCTGGGTGATCTGTATATTCTTGTCATCTTCACATGGCGTGCCTGACAGTATATGTTGTAGCATCGTCTTTCATGGACTGACGAGTGACACATTTCGGGGCGAAATAAGTTACAAGAGGAAGAGTTGTACCCGCCTGTTGTCATGTGTTTGCGGCATTTTTGGGGGGAAGATCAAAGGTGCATCTCCCACCTGTTTTTTTTAGGGATACCTAACTTTCTTTTCCTATCAATTAATGTCCTATCTCCACTTTCTCTACTCGTGATGCCTACTTCTTTCTCTAACTTCTGTGTCGTCACATCATGTCCTAGTATCAGGTAAGTTTTCCTTACTTTGTGACTGATGTACCTGCTACTCAGTCAATGTTGTTGATCGGTCCTCTTCTTCAAGTCTCTGGAAACAGATACCACCAGATGTTCTGTTAGTAACAAAACTAGTTGAAGTGCTAGTCAAATACTGCCCATTAATATCCACCTCGGCGTCTGCTCGTGTCACTGCAGCAATCAGTACTAGAAATAGTTTTAGCTTTCAAACTAGTATCTTCAGAGGATGACTTTCCTCAAAACTTTTAACGTCTGTGCGAGTGAATATTTACTGTCCTGCCTCATCTTTAGACCTTTCCGAATTGATCTCTATTTTTTTGGGAAATAAATCATTAATTTTATTGATTTCATCAGCTAAATTATTCACGAATGGAGAGAGCAACTCCATTCAGATTGGTGGCATATTTTTATGGGAATTTGTAACAAATTTAATACGTAGTCTAGTGTCGCCAACTTCGTTAAAATGTAATTACATCTTGCATACCCTTATATTTTTGATCAAGGTCTTCCTTCCCTCCATGACAAGTCTTTCTTTAAAAAATTACTTAGTAAGGATTTTGCCCGTTCTATTTAGTAATGAGAATAAAGAGTGAATAATGCCACACAGTATTTTCATATA